CATTAAGTATTTCACCAAAAAGGAAGAAAATTATACATCAGAGTCGATTTTTTTCTACTAAAAAGACAAAAACACACAAAAAACTTCAACTATTATAGAACCGAACAAAATCGGGAAGAATAATATAAGTGCATCTTTATTGTTGATGAACCAAAGAAAGTAAGACACCTGAGATAAGTGTTAAATTTTAAAAATCGTAAAAAGTAAAAATCATCTAAAAAGTAAATATTATGCATTTATTTAACATCATATATAATTTATGTTTAATTTCTATATTTAAAACCATGTTGTAAACAAAAATGACAGATTCTTTTTAAATATTTAATAAGTAATAATATGTAATGTAAATACACTTTGATTGTCAATAATATACACAATTATACTCTATGGGTGTTAAGATATTAACGAGAGCCGAGTATAGGGCTAACAGTTTGTAATAAAAATATTATATAATGCATACTGTTTTGAAAGAACTATTTTTTGCATATGTTGGTCTTTATGACTCGATTATTATAACCTATTTTTACTTGTTCCTTAAATGTCATTATAAATGTTTTTTACTTATAAATTTACCCATAATGTTAACTTGGAATTGGACAGCCAATAGTACACTTTTGTATATAATTTGTAATTCTATATTTCCAATTATTGTGAGCTCTGCCTATCTATCTCATTGGTAAAGACGTAATTATACTAAGATTGTCATATTTAAGTATTTTTCATGAATTTAATAAATTTAACTAATTTTATATTTATTATTATTTATCAATTATTACCATCAAGTACCTATGTGAATAAAATAATCGTCATAACGCTATTGTTGATATACTTATTAATTTTTACTTGCATATTATTGAATGAACATTTTTTTTTTATTTTAGCTCTAACGAAGATTTTGATGGTACTTTATTCTCTAACCGTTCCCCTAAGGCATCTTCATCTAAAAAGTAAATATTATGCATTTATTTAACATCATATATAATTTATGTTTAATTTCTATATATAAAACCATGTTGTAAACAAAAATAACAGATTCTTTTTAAATATTTAATAAGTAATAATATGTTATGTACATACACTTTGATTGTCAATAATATACACATTTATACTATATGGGTGTTGAATATTCAGACATATTCAGACAAAGTGCCAACAGAAAAATGGATTTCTTTTTGTAAATGCCTATTAGCAAATTTATAAAATATTAAATTTTTTTTTATTTAAATTAACTTATATTCTACCTAATTAATGTATTATGACGTGTATTGTGCATACCAATTATATTGTAATTATTATTTTTTTATTATTATTATGACAATGTGAACCCAACTATATTATAATCACCAATTTGAATATTGACATTTTCTTATAACTATTTAGAGGTAACTATACAAGACATTGTTTGTTGTGTATTATGACGTGTATTGTGTATACCTATTATTTTGTAATTATTATTGAAGTTAATTTATAATAATTAGAATAATTTAATTTAACTTAATATTTCATAATCTATTGAAATAATATCACATAATAAAAGTACACTGTGATAATACTGATAAATATTTGTGAAGATGAGACGTACGATTGATAAGAGCATAAGACCGCCATCATGCAGCCACACAGATATATATAATAAACTAGATTGCTAACTGGCCTATACAGCCTGTGTATTTAATTGAAGCCAGCAATCCGCCATCTTAACCGAGGCCGGAACCCCATATCAGTTATTAATTATATTGATAACAAATGTTTTTTTTTTCAATATTAGAAAAATAATTCTTTAGTTCACAAGTTATAATTAATTTATATATTTTTAGTTTTACATATAAATAAAAAAAACATATCATCTTCAGTTTTTATAACATTAATAAATTCTTAAATAAATTAAATAAATCACATATGACGTATCAAGTATTAAAAATTAAACATTCATTGTCAGATTGTATAGTATAAAAATCATTATAGCTTTTATTGCTGTATCTACTTCATTTAAAGGTGTTAAATCTTCTAAAAATTGAATTTTGTATTAACATTTATACTTTATATTAGATAGGTACCTAAGTGATAATTGGTTAAAATACCTGGATGACTGTTATTCTGAACTATTTCACTAAGTACTGGAGAATAAACATTTCCAGTTATTTTTTTCTTTGTGTATTTTTTAATGGGAGCGGCAGTATAATTAAAATTACTAGGAACTACACCTTCTTTTAAAACTAATCTGTCTGGATTTTCAACAAAATCATCGGGGTTAAAATGTGCACTGCACAGTCTACTATATTTGGATGCTTTAAAATCTTTTCTCTGGATGGCATTCACCCATTCTTTTTTCGTGGTTTCATTCAAGGGAAATCTTTAAAATAAAATAAGTAAAATACGTAATAGATAAATTGTCCATTAAATATTTATAATTTTATCTAAATAACTTACTATTTTTGTCCACTCTATCGACATTATTACAACCATACGCACAACATTTATAGGGCATAATTATTTAGTAATTATTAATAATTAATATTTAATTATTTTTAATAATTTTTATTAAACCAATTTTACCACAGTAAAAAGTATAAATTTCAAAAAAAAGTAGAAAAACCGAAAACGTTGACACTTGACAGGACAACTACAGTGAACAGGTGGTCATAATTCGTTATTTAATACTGTGATAATAATTGATAATACTTCTGGCCTCAGATAAAATGGCGGATCTTCGCTTCACGTATTATCAATGTTGGCAATCTAGTTTATTATATATATCTGTGTGAAGCTATTTCTGTCTCTAGACGCTTGTGTCGAGCAACCATTATATCTTTAATCGTGCCTCAGACCCGCTGGCGTTATACAGGGCGAACGAAGCGAACCTGATGGAGGACTTCAACCAGCTTCTCCAAGACGTCGACAGCTCGAGGGCCGCTTGTCTGGCAGCCATCAAGGATCTATTTCGCGGGCACGGAAAGTCACTCGCGGTCGACTACGGTTTGCCCCTTGCCGACCCCCTTCTACTGGAACCGCTGCAAGACGACAATGCGTTGTTCCGAGAAATAGACGTGGCGGCACAGTGGGCCCAACAAGTGGACACCTTAAAGCAGTGGTTCTCAACCGGTGTGCCGCGGCACACTAGTGTGCCGCGAGATTGTCTAGGTGTGCCGCGAGAAATGTTATTAAATATTGAAAACAGTGTTTTATTTCGTGACATTTATTTTTAAAAATACAGCTGCATAATAATATTTAAAGAACTAAATTATTTTACAGTAAACAAAAGAATATTTATATCATGAAGTTATTTTTAAGAATTTTAAGGCTTAAAGGATCATGAAACAATAAAAATCATTTTTATTTTTATATCTTAATATTAAATTAGAAATGAAAACTATTATTCGTCTTTTCAAAAAAATTATCCGATCACTCCTTCTGTGTCAAATAGCGATCGTTCGTATACGCGTGACGTCACTGGTGCGCACGGATTTGTGCCGCCGTATTATTTTACGCGGTACAATATGTTTATATGGTGCATTCAAACACACAAAATATAAGACTGAATTAATTTCTGTGATAATATTATATTATCATTATCCTTTATTATTATTGACTTTAAAAGTTATTTATATCGGATTAGATATTTCCATTTTAATAACATGAATTACAAACTAGGATCTATAGGATATTATCAATTGTCATTTGTCATTCTTCAGCCGTCATTCGTCGTTGCTGTTAGACAATTCAGTTGAAATTATAATTAGAGGTAAGTTATTTAAATTAATTATTTTTAGTATAACATAAGTCATAACTTAACTATAATAAATAAAATAGTTTCGTATGCTCATTTGTGATTTAAAATACTATAGCATTTAAATAAATATAATTAATAACTTCATAAACCATTGATTAAAAAATAAAAGTACCTATTGGCTCTTATAATATTAGGAAGTACTATTATTTTGACGCGGCTACGGCGATGGTGATCTGGTTGTTAGCACTTAGCAGTGAGCCGGTCGTGTAGCGCCTGTGAGTGGCGTAGAGAGGTATGGTGAGAACAGAAGGAGCACAAGTGTCGCTAAATTGTCCTCGGGGGACGTATATTGTTTAGTACAAGTAAACAACGATGATGAGACAATAGTATATATCACAAGAATAACGGTCGTAACGTGGTCGCGTTGATTTCGCGGCGGGTCGCGTTTCGGCGTACGTGTGCACTAAATAACCGTTGGTGCCTTGGTGGTCGAGAGGGCGACCAGCCGGCGGCCGGTGCCCGGTACTCGTCTTTCGCGACTCGCCTTCCCGTCCCGCCATGCCACTGTGGCGTGGTGGGAGAGTTGGCGATGTCGCGCTCGTAGCCCGTGGTGGTGGTTGTCAAAAGCGCAGACCGGCAGTGTTGCCAACTTGGCCTTTTTCGAGCTAGATCTGGCTTTTTCGATCTTTCAAAGTCGTGAAAATTCGTCACCTAGCTCCTGGTTTTTTTTCTAGCTTTTTATCATTAATAAAAAACTTTTTCTGGTTAAAAAAAAAAAAAATTATGAAAGTGTTTGTGTACGTAATTCTACTACTTTCAATAAATTGCCATGTCTTTCTTTGTCTACTCTCATCATCGGGTTACCGTGATTTGTACCGTCTATGATTATGATTAATCAGAGTTTAATCGGCCGAATTTGCCCGTGTTATCAGCTGACACTATCTAGTCTGTGGTTTAATCGCAGACGGTATAACTGGCCCTTAAACACTTATAACCATATACTATCTTAAACCATGATTATAACATTACCCATATTTTATATTATTATTATTATCTATACACCTTATCAAGTGTGTTATTAAGTTGACAGATAGCAGTTATCACAGAATACCTACTATTAAGTATTAAGTATTAACCTTACAATTCTTGTCTATGGTATTAACTATTAATTATTATACTTATAATATACAAGAATATTTAATAGTATTTAATAATAAGTCATTTAATAATTAATTAGTATTTAATAAATTGTAAACTTAATGCTTTAAGCATGGGGAAACCCCAATACAATCAATCATTTCGGTCTGAATGGCTGAAGGACAAACTATTTGCAGATTGGTTGTCTGCTTATGAAGGCGATTCGTTGAAAGCATTTTGCAAAGTCTGTTGTTGCCAAATAAGGGCCAAACGAGCTGATTTAATTAACCACAAAAACACCAAGAAACACGAAGCGGCCAGTGGAGCCATCCGTTTACATAAACCAGGCGGTATACAATTAATAAAACCAAATAACAAGACAAATCACGCTGAAGCAGCAATTGCTTTGTTTGTAAGTGCTCATTGCTCAATTTTATCCTCTGACCATTTAGGAGAGTTATGTAAGTTGCAATTTGCTGGAGCACATGCTGATAAAATTCATCTCCATCGAACAAAGTGCACTGCAATAATTAATAATGTTCTTTGCCCACACTTTGAAACTAAATTAAAAGATGATATTGGGAATAGCAAATATAGTATTCTTGTAGACGAATCAACTGATATATCAGTTACAAAATTTCTGGGGATTGTCATTATATACTATAGCACCTTAAAAAGCACCATAGTAACGACTTTTTTAGGATTAGAAGAACTTATGGAAGGTAACGCTTTAGCTATTGTTAATGCTATAAAGTCTTGTTTAAAAAAATATTCTTTAAGCTTAAAGAATATGATAGGCTTAGGAACAGACAATGCGAGTGTTATGATAGGAGTCAACAACGGAGTACACAAATTACTGAAAGATGAAAATCCATACATTGTCCTTATTAAATGTGTATGTCATTCTTTACAGTTAGCTACATCTCATGCAGTTTCTGAAAAGTTACCTAGAAATTTAGATTTTTTAATTTCTGAAACATACAATTGGTTCAGTAAATCAACTCTTAGACAGCAAGCATATAAAGAGTTATTTACAACTTTAAATGATGGATGTGAGCCTTTAAAGATTGTGCAAGCATCAAACACTCGTTGGCTATCCATTGAAGTGGCAGTTTCTCGGGTAATAGCACAATGGTACGAACTCAAACTTCATTTTGAAATTTCCAGATGTAAAGAAAAATGCTACCTCGCAGAAATGTTATACAATATGTACAAAGATGAACAAAATCTAGCTTACTTATTATTTTTAAAGCCAATTTTAAAAGAAATTCAACGAGTGAATAAGCTATTTGAATCAAGCAACATTGATCCTACTAAATTATGTAATGAATTAAGTTCATTAATTGCCTCAATAGGTAAATTAATCGTAACACCAACCTTCCGTTTTGAACCTATTACAATAGATTTTACATCACATTTACACCCTCGTCCATATTTAGGTTTTGGATTTGAAAAAAAGATTTCAGAAATGATTAATGCAAATCAAATATCAAAAGATAGTGAAAATATTTTGAGAGAACGTTGCATATCTTTTGTAGTTGCATTAGTGAAACAACTACAACAAAGACTGCCAGAAAATATTAACATTTTCCAAAAAACTGAAATTCTTTCTCCTTCGAATGCTCTTAAGCAGATAAAAGAAAATATTACTGATTTGTGCGAATGTTTTGGAGTTAATAATGAAGAAATAGAGAAAATTGAGACTCAATGGCGGAAAATAAATTTGGTTTCGTGGAAAAATACAAGTTCAGCTATCGACTTTTGGACTGAAGTCAAAGAATTTAAAGATGCAGCTAATAGTTATATATTTAAAGAATTGGCTTATTTTTCTTTGACAGTTCTGTGTTTGCCATGGTCCAACGCTGCTGTTGAAAGAATTTTTAGCCAAATGAACATTGTTAAGTCAAAATCAAGAAATAAAATGGGTACAACCTTATTGACTTCTTTACTTCAAATTCGTTTTGGGCTAAAGTTAAGCGATAAATGTTGTAAAAACTATTCATTGCCAGATGCTATAGTCAAACAAATTGGCACTAAAGAGATTTACAAAACACAAGGTAATTTAGAAGAACTTAACGTTGATGAAGAATTGTTTATACTTTAAAAACCTATTAAATATACTTAGTATCTTTATTTAATTGTCAAAATGATGTACCTATAAACCTATACTGTTATATTTATGTTTTTGTTAACGCTCACTAATTTTTATTTTATATTTGAATTCATCAAAGACTGATGTTATTTTATTAAATATTATGTAGTTATTTAATTCATTATCATTAAGTTTCAATTATTTTTTTGTTATGTTTTATACAATGTTAGTTGTAATTTGATAGATATTCTATACTTAGTATCTTTATTTAATTGTCAAAATGATTTACCTATACTGTTATATTTATGTTTTTGTTAACGCTCACTAATTTTTTATTTTATATTTGAATTCATCAAAGACTGATGTTATTTTATTAAATATTATGTAGTTATTTAATTCATTATCATTAAGTTTCAACTATTTTTTTGTTATGTTTTATACAATGTTACTTGTAATTTGATAGATATTCTATACTTAGTATCTTTATTTAATTGTCAAAATGATTTACCTATACTGTTATATTTATGTTTTTGTTAACGCTCACTAATTTTTTATTTTATATTTGAATTCATCAAAGACTGATGTTATTTTATTAAATATTATGTTGTTATTTAATTCATTATCATTAAGTTTCAACTATTTTTTTGTTATGTTTTATACAATGTTACTTGTAATTTGATAGATATTCTATACTTAGTATCTTTATTTAATTGTCAAAATGATTTACCTATACTGTTATATTTATGTTTTTGTTAACGCTCACTAATTTTTTATTTTATATTTGAATTCATCAAAGACTGATGTGACTGAACTACTAGGTTATGTGGTCATAGATATTATATTATAGTCTTATAATATCTATGTATGTGGTCGTGTTAATTAATTTCATTATACATTTAAAAAAAAAAATTTAAAAAAAAAACATCTGGTTTGAAATCTAGTTTTTTTTTTTTTACCATCTGGACTTTTTTTGGCCTTTTTTCACAGCAATTTAGTTTTTTTTTAAAATTATATGTGGCAACACTGCAGACCGGTCGCTGCGGTACCTGTACTTTGTACTGGTTGCCGGCGCATACCGTGTCAATTTATAATAAAAATTTAGTATTAGATATATTGTATTCATTATTTTAAATAACTAATAAATATACTATAGTATATTATATTATATGTGATTATAGACGTACATAATCATAATGTAGGTTTTTACAAATAATAAAAAATACTAAAATATAAAATGAATACTGAGTTACACTAATCTTATTCAAACTTATTCATCACAATTAATTTAGTGTTCAAATTTATTCAAATTTCTTATTTGCTTTGGTTTCCTGTAAAACCTACGTATATTCCATTATTTTCAGGGTATTTATTTCGAATAGCTTGTACAACACATGCTGGAATACATACACGATTTCCTATGAAATTAAGTATTAACGATACAATTAATAACTAATAATTAATAATAAGTATAGTCGTATTAGAAATTACCTTTTCCTATTGCATTCCATGAATTTATCTAATGCGTAAATTATTTGTAACATATAAATCTCCAAGTTTTGTTTTCCAGATTTGATGTTGAAAGCATTTTTTTTTCGTTTTACATCATTAGTTTTCAAAATCATTTGTTGCCTAGTAATGTTCAAAACTTCTTGGTCCATCATCATTTTTTTAAAAGATTTGTCACGCATTTTATTAGAATGCAAATTCGATATATTTTCGAACTGAAAACAACAAATACATTCTTTGTCAGTTTGCAAAGTAGGACACTTTTTATACAAACACCAATTACTTGGGTTTACTGATGTTCTTCCCACATAGTTTATTGTTTGTATTGGATTTACTCGTAGTGCTTCATACATTCTGTAATCGATATCTTCCACAGTAGGTTCACAACAGAAAGGTTTTAAACTCATTTTTTTTAACACAAATTACACAACATAATAAATAATATTGAATACAATTGTAAACCACTTATGTACGTTGCGTCTGTAGTTAAACACAACAAATAATAAATGCTGGTTTAAGAATTTTCAACGAAACTACGTGTTTGTATTAACCAGACTGACAACCATTTTGATTGGACTCATATTATTATTATTAGAAAACTTGATACAACTATAATACAACAACAAAAACAATGTGTACCAATAATTCAATAACTCGTATAGTTAAATAAGTTATTCTTTATTTAGATCGTTGATAACAATGCCGATTTGTTCAGAAAGTAATAGAAGTAAAACCAGCCTACACTTTTATAGATTTCCTAGCCGTGAAAAATCTTCTAGCAGATATAAAGTTTGGGTTGAGTTTTGCAAACGCAAATATTTCTCTCCTACAAGAAATTCACGATTATGTTCAAAACATTTTAAATTTGAAGATTTTAATCAATCGGATATCATGAAAAATAAACTGATGCCAAATTTAAAAGTTAGAATAAATTTGAATCCCAACGTTGTTCCTACTATTAGAAGTAAAACAACAGATAGTACATTGACAGTTAGTGAACGTAATAAAAGGGCAGATCGTAGAGAATTTAGTCAGTTCACATCAGAATTATTAACTACAAGTACTCCAAAAAAAGTAAAACTAATTCAAAATAATGCGGATTTAAGTTTGGAACCCAATGACTGTAGTTTAATTTTCTGAACAACGAGTCAATCAAAATGATATAGGTGTACAGTGTGATAAAGGATTAGAAACTTATCAACAAGTAGAGAAGAAAGATTATTTGTCATTTGATATACCGTCCGAATCCGAAGATGAAAGTTCTAATTCTGATATTGACTCTGACAATCGACATTACAAAAACATTTAATCTATCCAAAATGATTTTGATGATAATGGTTCTTTCATTGTATTTTGGGAAAATGTATCCCGACTTTTCAAATATTGTCGTCAATGCGGTAGTAGGGTTTGTACTCGACAACATTTTACACAAGATGCACTTGTCTCATTTATAACTATATGTGAACAGGGCCATAAATTGTAATGGTGTTCACAGCCAAAAACAGGTAAGAGACCAGAAGGGAACATTTTGATTACTGCATCTTTAGTACTATCTGGTATTCTATTTTCTCAATTAAAAGTATTTTGTTCCGCATTGAGACTTTCGATTTTTACTCATCCAGTTTATGACAAAATTATTAATAACAACTTTTTTCCTTTAATATGCCACCAATGGGAAGAACACAGAAAAAAAAACATCGAAGCTATAAAGCTATCATCAATTTGGCTAGCTGAGAATGGCCAATATGACTCGCCGGGTACTGTACTTGTTCAGTTATGGATATCAACACTGGAAAAATCATAGATTTTAAGTTAGTGCCAAAAGGCCAATTAAAAGGTGATTTGGAAAGGCAAGCCTGTGAACAATTACTAATGGATTTAACTAATAGGAGTAATTGTAAAATCCAGCTATTTTTAACACATAAGACATAAAGGTATACGTGCATTTATCCGTACACAGCATCCAAGTATTAAACATGAATTTGATATTTGGCATTTAAGTAAGAGTTTAATGAAAAGATTAAAGCCACTCGAAAAGAAATATAATGATGCTTTTTTATGGAAATCGTAAATTAACATTCATCTTTGGTGGTCAGCACAAACATGTGAAGGGGATGAAGAAAAACTCATTGATAAATTTACATATATACTAAAACACATATCAAATGAGCATGAGTGGGAAGATAATGGTGAAAAAAAGAGACGCGAACATGAAAAATTAAATGAAAATGAAATACGAAATAAACTGTGGATAGACCCAGAAAGCGAATCTTAATACGCTTTGAAAAAAATTATCATGGCAAAAGATTCTTAAAAGGTTTAACACATGCTAATCATTTTGTACATACTGGTAAATGAGAGTCGTATCACAATACTTACGATTAAAATATATGCCAAAACGTATTCACTTAAAATACAAAGGTATATGAGAAGTATAATTGCTATACTAGACAATAATAACAACGTAAATAAAAAGGAATTCGGAGAAGAAATAGTATTTACTAAACCAGCCAGTAGATATGTCATACAAAAAAATACGAATTAAATAAAAATGATGAGTGGCTCGAAAATATTATGCAAAAAGTCCATGTTCACATGAAAGAAAATAATTCAACAGTATTAAAAAAAATCTGTTTACCCGTGGTACCAAACAATATAGTTCCTCAACCAAAACTTAGTTGCAAAGATTTAATGAAAAAAAAAATTCACAAGATTCTAAAAATATAAATTAATTGTTATGCAAATTTAAATATTTTAATTTTTAAAATATAGTACACCATTTTAAATTTGTACTATTCTGTCTATACTAAATGTAAACTGTGAAACTCAAATACTCATTATAATAATGCATTAATATATTTCAATAATGTTAACTTAATAGTTGTTGTAAGTATTTATAAATATCCATGTACCTATATATCTACCGCTTAAAATAATACGGCGGTACAAATCCGTGCGCACCAGTGACGTCACGGGTATACGTACATTTGACACAGGAGTGATCGGATAATTTTTTTGAAAAGACGAACAATTTAGTTTTCATTTTTAATATCATATTAAGTTATAAAAAAAAAGAATGATTTTTCTTTTTTGATTCATAATCCTTTAAACGCCGAACAGCAAACGGTATACGACCGCGTGATGGCGGCCGTCGAAGACCCAGGCGAGGTGTCGCGAACTTTTTTCGTCGACGGACCAGGAGGTACCGGAAAAACTATACTCTGTACCAAATAAGAGCGCACCGCGTTGGCGCATCCAAATGAATCGCGGAGCGACGTCTGGACCCCCTGGTTGAGTCTATTCGCTCTGTGATTGGTCGCCGATCGTCGGTCGGATTCGCCGCCGTCGAGAATACAGGGAGCTGAAGTAATAATGCGTTTCACGCGTATTAATCAGTAAAATAATACACATACTTTTCGTTTTTTTTTTCTTAACATAGGTAATTGAACTCAATATAATATTAAAAACATTCAAAATATTCACCAATGCGCGCAAAAAATATAACAACGTCTAACCGCGTATACCGTTAAAATTGGTGTGATAATATACAACACTCTGTATTCAGAGTTGACCTGGCCGGCGCCGGAATATGCTGCGGCAGCGCTCTCTAACATGCGCGAGTTTCGACCGGTTTTCGTGCGCCGCCCGGTGCGCTCTTATTTGGTACAGAGCATGGCTTAAATATACAAGGTTATTGCACATAGCCATTATTGTTATCAAATAAAATAAAATGGCAGCGTAAGGGTCACGATTCTTTATCAATTATTGTTATCACTCAATTATATAATGTATAATGTATATATTCATATAATATACAGCCAATCAAAACATCGCCCCTTACGCTGCCATTTTAATTTCTTAACAAGATAAAACGATGTAGTGGGGGTACTACTGCAATAACCTTGTATATTTAAGCCATGGTACAGAGTATACTCTGTATGGATGCCGGATATGGTCGCTTCGGCGGGAGGTGTTGAGCGTCGCTCATGGACGGCGGCATGACCGTTCACTTGACGCGGTGCAACTCGTTTGCGCACAATCCAAATTGTTTACCTAGATATCGATGACTCGTTTGCGCACAACTAATACCGTCGTTAACCTAAAAACGGACGACTCGTTTGCGCACAATATAAACACTGCATAACATAAATTTTATATTTTTAAATTTGGACTTACCTAAAGTAATTGATTATCGGTACAAATTATCAGTACAAATGACCGGCATATCAATATTAAATATATCATTAGTCATTATCATCATTGAAAATAATCGACGTGTATTAAACATAATATTTTTAAGCAGTCGTTCGCCAGAAAGCGGTACTACCTATACTGACTAGTGACTATGGATATCGAAATTTGTGATATTTTTGAAACGCGTCGAGGTAAAAAGTGTATAAATTTAGAGAATTTCGAACTTTAAAATCTAGTGTTACACATTTTAGGTGTGCAAATAAAAAATGTTCCTTGAGTGATGTAGTAAGGTTAGTTAATAATAAAAAAAAAAATTTTAAAAATGACAAACACGCATAGAACTTCTATTACTTCTTATTAATTGTACAATTATATATTTATTCAGAACAGACACACACGACATGCACTTTTTTAATCACGCCTGTACAAAACAGATGGTCCTAAGCCTATATTAAAGTAAGAAGGGAAATGTGCTGTTCTGCTCAAAGTTAAATGTGCGCAAATGAGTTGTACCTTTATAATTTAAACCCAAAATATGTGTGCGCAAACGAGTTGTGATTTTGTGCGCAAACGTGCCGTAAAAAAGGTAAATGTGCGCAAACGAGTCGCACCCCACTTGACGTTCGGATTTCCGTTCGGCACGCTGACCGAAGACCGACGTCCACCATCAGCTTGCAGTCCGAGCTATTATTGTTAGAGGTGGGAATTTTCGGTCGTTTGAATGATTCGAATCATTTGAATCGGATCAGTGTAGTGTAGTGATTCGGTCATTTCAGTCATTTCGGTCTTCCATCAAATATCGTTCTTATCATTAGGAGAATCAATTTTCTCATGAAATATGAATCAGTCAATCAGTGACAGAGATTATTATTATGATAATGTAGTAGATTGTACTAATTGTAATTTGTAGCACGATTTATATCTTAAATCGTGGTTTGTTGTTACCATGAACCATGATAATAATCACGGTCTTGGATTATTAATTATTATTGTATATATTATTTTATATTATACTAATAAACTACCTATGATTACTATTATAGACTTGTGTTTTCTTTAATACCTTACAAAACCTTGGTATCGTGAAAGTAGATATCACCATTCACCGCAGATTATATTATATTATCTTTTAATCACGAAATGTAATTATTATTAACATGTAAATCAGTACAACTCAGTAGTCAATCTCAATAGTGACTATCAATAATCGATACTGTCTATTAGATAATAATTATTGTTTTCCCCGAGAATAGACTAGACTCCATGGACCATGATATAGTAGAATTATTATTATTATCATATTTTATACTTATTATGCATGGGTTGTACTATCTATTACCAAAAAATAAAACAAAATAATTCGACATTTTGTAATTGGTGCAAGAAAATTATAAATTATATATAATTTAGAATTAAACAGAATTTACAATATTGTGATCATAATATATTATATATTTTCAATAATTTTATAATTCAAATTTGGTTGTTTTATTTTTAAGTATTTCTGCCAACGCTCATTTTTCGTGCTCATGACTATAGTAAATCATAAAAGTAAGTATAAGTAAAAAGTCTAGTATGACTGTATAAACAAATTGTGTTTAATAGTTGATATTATATACATCATAGGCGTAAACTGGAGGGGGCAACTGAGCCTCTTGATATTTTGTAAAATACATTTATTAGTTAATTTAGTCTCCAAGGATCTTTAAGTAAACGGTGTATTGTCATAAAATAATATTTGCCAAGTTACGCCCATGATATACATGGTATTATTTATCATATTTTCACTTATTTAATTATGTTAACATTTACAAAATAAAAATGCTAAACAATTTGTATTTAAATAGCTTTTAAAGTTATTAAATTGATCTTTTTTAAAAAAAATTTTTACAAAATACATATTATAATCTAAATTCCTGAATACAATTTTCAATTGTTGTTGACTTTAAAAATCAAACTAAATTTAAAAAAATACTTACTACTCAATTTAAAAATTAAATTATAAAATAGTTGCTTACAACCTTAATTTAAAAATAAAATAAATAATTTTTTGTTACCCACTTCTATACTCCGGCCCACGAGAGAGTATTACCGTCGCCCGACGAAAACTCGTCCGATTCCGCGCATTCCCCTTTACTCGGCATGTGTCGACAACTGTTCGGTATCGGTCGGCAGCGCTCAACGCTATACGGTGTATAGCGGTCGCGGAAATAGTGGGGGAAATGGGGCCTCGGAACGGTCTCCGCCGTCAGTCTGCATGCGCAAAACGGTAATACTCTCTCGTGGGCCGGAGTATAGCATAATTACATAATTATTATCTATTAAAATTAAATAGAAGTTCATTGTATTCATTATTTAAATAATGCAATGGATTATCTACCCAAGTATGTAGTTAAAATAACTAAATATTGTTATGTTTATTAACAAGGTAAAACAACTTAATTATGCTTTCAAAAAAAAGAAGCTCCATCTGGAACCATTTTACAATAGTAGATCAAAAGTATGCTAAATGTAGTTATTGCCCGAACAAAATTAGTTATGGTGGTGGTTCAAGTGGCAATTTATTGAGACACATGAAAACTAAGCACATAACAGTACCACTTGATCGAACTGCACGCCATCATTCTTCAAATACCATGACTGAGCATGAGCATATTGAGGAACATAATATAGATGAACCATCTCCTTCGGGAATTCCAGCATCAAATAATTCCACTCAAATTTTGACATCAATAACACAAACCAATATTAGACCCGTTCAGAGCTCCATAACTTCCTATGTACAAAAACCAGTATCCATTTCAAAATAAAAAAAAATAGATTCTCAAATAGCAAAATTAATCATTAAACATTACCATCCTTTTAGTCTCGTTGAAGAAAAAGAATTCAAAAATTTAATACAGATGTTGGCACCTGGTTATGTTCTTCCCAGTAGAAAAACTGTATCCAATAGCCTTTTGCCTCAGTTATATGAAAGTACAGTTGATACTATTAAAAACAAATTAAAAAATGTAACAGCAGTTTGCTTGACAACTGACGCTTGGACTTCAATTAATAATGAATCTTACGTAGCTATTACTGCCCATTAAATCGATGATGATACGAAGATGTCATCAATCCTGATTGGTTGTCAACATTTCACAGCCAGACACACAGCTGTTGAAATGTCTTCTCTCCTTATAGAGCAGGTGAATAAATGGGGATTAGTTAATAAAATAACTATGATTGTTAGTGATAATATGGTGGCAGCTGTTCGATTATGCCAGTGGAGGCATTTTCCATGTTTTGCTCATAGCATCAATTTAATAGTACAATCTGCGCTAGAGGAAGTGAAACCAATATTAGGTAAAGTAAAGGCCATTGTGAAATATTTCAAACGCAGTACTCACGTATTGTCTCGTCTAAATGATATTCAGAAACAAGGTGGTTATTCTGTTTTGAAGCTAAAGCAAAACTATCCTACCCGGTAGAATTCCACATTTGATATGGTTGATAGAATTTTGAAAATAAAAGAGCCAGTTTTATTTACATTAGCCATTATTAATAATGATCTTAACACAATCACATTTGATGAGTGGAATGTCTTGAAAGTGCTTTGTCAATTATTAAAAATTTTCTATGATGTAACTAATGAAATAAGTTCAGAGAATTATGTATCTATATCAAAAGTTACGATATATTCAAGGGCAATGGTGAACTATGTATCAGGGTACACTAATAACCGTACAATGCCAACTGAAATTTGTTCAGTGGCAAAAATTCTATCAGAGAAATTGCATTCAAGATTTGACCAGCTCGAAACTAATGAAGTTGTGATGCAATCGATATTATTAGATCCACGCTTCAAAAAACAAGGGTTTCCAAATAATGACAAGTACCAATCGGCATATCAATCGTTGTCAAGGAAAGTGCAAAATTTACCTATCGGACAAGACGCTCAAGAACCAGGAACAACAGTAGGTATTGGTCCACTTTCTGGACCGGAGACTATTTGGAAGGATTTTGATACCAGAGTTACTGCAGTAAGTGGTGGTTCGAATGTGACAGTAGCTGGTATATTAGAACTGGATCGATACATTGCTGAACCTTTATTAAAAAGAACGGAAGATCCATTAGTTTGGTGGAATGAACGCAAATTAATTTATCCAAAACTCTACCAATTAGTTTGTCGTAGGTTATGCGTCATGGTGTTGACGGAGAGACGGTCAAGACTAACGACTGACAAAGTTGAGAAGTTGTTGTTTCTAAATCATAATTTAGATAAAAGTTATTTTTTTATTTATATTTTTATTTACAGTTGTTATAAATTAATGTGTACAACATGTAAAAAGAAAAATTTTATTTTATTAACAGGTTGTTAAAATTTTTTTATTGAAAATTTGTGATTTCGTATTTGTATATTTTGTGTCATTTGGTTGGTCTGCAACCTTACCTCTTCCCTCTGTGGTTATAAGTGTAACTAACAAGTAACAATTAACACAGATTCAAAAAATTACGGTTTTGTCATTTGACGAAACGTATATTTCTAAACGTATTTGTTATGATAAAAAAATGAACAAATCATTGGACCACACAAGAGTGTCCAATGTGTAATTATATGAGGTAGACTTAAATCTATTTAGTGTCATATTATCATAAAAAATTTAAGCAATAAAAAGTAAAAATTTATTTTGAAAAATTAGGTCTTACTGAAAACTGGAAACAACCTATTTTCTTTGATTATGACAATGGAATTATTATTTCAAATTTTAAAGTGTCTTCAAGAAATAGGATTTGTAGTTGTGGCAATGGTGAATGACATGGGTCCCACAAACATGAGATTATGGAAAGATTTAGGTATTACAATTGAAAAAACTTCATTTCTCCATCCAACAACGTGCAAACAAATACATGTATTTGCAGATGTTCCGAATTTGTTAAAGTTGGCACGAAACCATTTCATTGACAATTAAGATTCTGTTTTCTAAAAAAAAAAACTAATATTTAATTTTATTAAAATATTTAAAGAGGATTTGTTTTGCCTAATGGAAAATATGTTGGGAAATCGATCATTAAAGAAATAATTACAATAAATGATGATCATGATTTCAAATTTGCACATAAGGTCAGTGAAAGACACATCTCATTAGAAGGGCCCACTAGGATGAATGTGAAATTGGCCGCACAGGTATTTTCCAATACGGTGTCAAAAGCAATCGCTTTCCTTGGTGAGAAAGGCCTCCTAAAAACTAATAATTGGAAAGATGTAAGTAACATTTTCTTCAGAAAAAATAACTAATATCTATATTACCGATTAGCATTTGGTTATACATAATATATCACTTGGTAATATAATATAATCAATGTTTAATATAATACACTTAAAAATAATAAAATAAAAAATGTACATACGTCTATTTTGTAGTTGAATAATTTATATTTTGTCATGGTATTATTCATGATAACAATGACTATGATAAGCGGAGAAAAGAATCCGCCATGTTGGTTTGAGTTGCCAGCATACCTGTTTATTTTGTCATGGTACTCAATACGATAATTTTGAAATTTACTCTTCTACACTATACATTTATCCAATAGATTATTATCGGTATTTCTGAAAAAAAAAAAACAATATGTTCTAAATTTATAAATAAAATCACATTTTCTTATCTTATTGGTTCTTGGAAATATTAGACGGACTACAGATATATAAGAATTTATTCTATATATCTGTGAAACGGACAAATAAAATTAATTCCCAAAATAGATACCATAGAATTTATATAATATATAAATATTACTATACAGTGTGTCCCAAAAGTCCCGTACCTATCACCCTTAATATCTATATTACTTAAAATCACTATATTTAAACGCGGTTTTTTTTACAGTACTAAGTATGAAAATTTTGATTGAATGGCATAAAATTCATTTATTTTTTTCCTTAAATTCAAAAATTTTCAAAAAAATTTTTTACGCATTTAAGAATTTAAAATTTTTAAGATAGCCATTTTGTTGAGCATATTTTTTAAAACAGTTCAAAAAAAAATATACTAAAATTAAATAAAAATTGACCAAGTTAGAGCAAGTTATGTTTTTGAATAATTGTAGTAAAAAAATTAATTAGGAATGTAAAAGTATGGTCGTGTGCTGAAATTAGATATTTCATTATTGAAATGTGAAACAATATTTTTTTGCTACAATTATTCAAAAACATAACTTGCTCTAACTTGGTCAATTTTTATTTAATTTTAGTATTTTTTTTTTGAACTGTTTTAAAAAATATGCTCAACAAAATGGCTATCTTAAAAATTTTAAATTCTTAAATGCGTAAAAAATTTGTTTGAAAATTTTTGAATTTAAAGAAAAAAATAAATGAATTCTATGCCATTCAATCAGAATTTTCATACTTAGTACTGTAAAAAAAACAGCGTTTAAATATAATGATTTTCCATAGAGATATTAAGGGTGATACGGGACTTTTGGGACAAACTGTATATTATTATTATCCATATAATATAATACTATCTTCTTCAATACTTCTTCTTTAATCAGCATTCGTGATATTCATATTTCCATTGTCTATTGTTAGTAAATCGTAGTGTTGTTAGTCTAGTGTAGTACCTAGCTTGTATAAATTCTGTTTCATTTTAAAATTGTTAACCTGTTAAAGTAATAAGTATGAGTGACTTTGAAGATGGCTATTTAAGGGATAGAACACCCGAGAAAACAAAACGCTCGCGAAATGAATCTTCAAAATCTCACAAGCAAACACACAAAAAAACAAAAATTTCGTATGGAATGGATGGACCAGGAAGATTTTAAACTTTGGCTGTCTCCAGCTATAGGTGAACCACTGAAAGCCAAATGTAAACTATGTATAGTTGATTTAACAGCAGAATTAACTGTTATAAAAAAACATCAAAGCTCACAAAAACAAACTGTGTCCGTTCAACCAAAAATATTAAAAACCCAATAAATACTTATTTTATTGATAATTCCAAAAAAAAATGTAGATATAAATAAACATTATTAAAAGCCATCTCAGCACATATAGTTATTGCTGTTAATGACAGATATACAGATTGATATACTTAAACATTTTCATGGTGTGGTTTTTTTTGTTGAAACATAATATTTGTTTTCAATTATTCTAAATACAATAAAAAATGGATTTTAATTGTGATATTTGCAAAAATCAATTTTCTAACAAGTTTACACTAACAAGACATTTGAAAAATAAACATGATATAACAAATGAAGTAAAACAAAAATTGTCTAAATGCATTACTTGTCCTAATCTAACATTTTCTAAAAAAGTATTATTAATTAATCATTTAAATGATCATCATGGAACGTTTATTGAAAAAGAAATTATTAATTTTTCAAATGTATCTGGTATGTATAATGATTTATTTAGTAAAAATATGTTTTAATCGTTTTTAATAATATACAATTCATTAAAACCTAGAATTTAACAGCTGGTTAAAATAATATGAATCAAACAACAAATGTGAATATGTTCGTCAGACGGGGAAAAAAAAGTAAAAAGATGGCCATGGAAGTTAATATGAGTGTGGCCGAACAGGAGTTCATAAAGAAATTGATAGTTCCAAAAGGTCAATAAAATCACAAGGGAGTAAAAAAATTAATATTAACTGTACAAGTCACATAATATTATTTGAATATTTAAATAAAAGTAGTTGTGATGTAATATTTTATAAATATCACTATAGCCACCAAGAAAGTGAACTTCAACATATTAGTTTACCAATTACAAAAAAAGCATGAAATAGTGGCTAAATTTATTTATTTATTCATTTATTGGCTTTTTTAGAAACAGAAAACAAAAGCTCCTGAAACCATGACAAAAAGGCATTTTGAAAGACATAAAAATTCGACCTTTCAAATCAGTCTCTTTGTTTCTCATCATCATCTAAAAGTGGAAATATTATACCAAACAGTATATCAATTTCAACTCAAAAAACTTTTGAGTAGCACAAGCAATTTAAGTAACCACATAACAACATTAGTCTCTGTTATTGACTCAGAAATTGTAAATGATATTATTAATACAGTTATTTCAAATAAAAAGGTTGACACAATTATAGATGATCATACTTTAATTCATGAAACTTCTATAGTTACATTCTAAGAACGCTACTCGTTCGCGCATCCAAATGACCGAGCTCCGCAGTTTCGTACCCAAGTTTCTCCCACTCTACGGCGGCGCCGTCGGTGGTAGTGGCAGCGATAGTAGCGATGGCAGCGACAGTGGCGGCGGCCATAGTTGACGGCGGCCAGCGTTCGGGAAGGTTTAGTGGTGGGAATGCGTGAGATCGGATGAATTTTGGTCGCCGCCTAGTAGCGTTCTGACGATGGCTATACTATATCACAAATCCAATACAAAATAATAAACCAATTCTAACTGATAAACTAAGATTCATAATTTCAAAATATCATGTTTAGCCCCATTTTGTAAATGAATTAC